ACCAAGAATGGACAAAGACACCACTGAGCTGAACTTGGTGGCTATGCAGGGGAAAACATCCAGCAAACTATGGATTGAGGCCAGCCTGCACAAGAAGTTGATGAGACCGTATCTCACAATATACCAGGCATGGGGCCCACACCTGTAAACTCAAATATAATGGGCATCCTAGGAGGATAATAGCATGAGGCCAGCCCTGGCCAAAGTCATTTCATCCTAAGTGAGAAACAGCGTAGAGTCAAAGGAGCTGAAGACATGGCAGAGAGCCTGCTGAGCAAACACAAGGCTGTGATTTCAAACCCAAATAACAAAAATAAAAGTAGATAAAAAAAAGGGCTGGGAAGGTGGCTCCGTGGTAGAGTGCTTGCCTTGCATTCATGAGGCCCTGGGTTCAATTCCTCAGTACCACATAAGAAAAAAGAAAAAAAAGCCAGAAGTGGCGCTGTGGCTCAAGTGGTAGAGTGCTAGACTTGAGCTGAAGAGCTGAGGGACAGCGCCCAGGCCCAGAGTTCAGGCCCCAAGACCGGACCCCACTCACAAAAAAAAAAAGTAGATGAAAAGTGAACATAAAATGACCATCGTAAATTGATCCCCTTAGCATATTTGCAGTAGGAAGCACACAGCCTTCCTTAACCCACAACCACTGCTGGTGGGAGGAGGGGTGGAGCGGAAGCCAAGGACTTGCTTCCGGAAGAATGCCCCATTTCCTGACTCTGCTGCTGGTGAAGCAGATTTCCCTGTGCTGTGGTGCTTATGAAATGTTATAAACAAGTCTTCTGTGTGGTAAAGCTGAACAAGTTTGCAGCAAATAAAATAAATGCATTTCCATAGTTTAAAAGTTACAAAATGGTCAGATGGGTTGGTTGTCCCTCCTCAGTAGGGAGACTGGCAGGAATGACTGGAGCCATTCCCAGAGACACAGTGTCAGCCCAGAGATAAACATGGTCATGTACAGCAATCCGTTCAGCTGTACAGAAAGCACAGATAGAACACCGCCCATACCACCAGGAAAAATGCATGGCCATATCCCCCAAATTGCTAAAGCAAAATACAGCAAAGATGGCTGGACACACAGCACAAGGGGCAGTGCACCTCTCTAGCAATCAAGAGACTCTTCTATTACAAATTCATACCACCAAACAATGTGACACATGCACACATCATGACACCTAATGTGAGCGATGACTGACTGTGCTGTGTAAAATGCAGTAAGAGGAGGTCTCCTAAAGCATTCGCTCTGCTGTGGGATGAGGTCTGTGTTCTCTTCCATGTAATCATTGTCACTGCTGACTTCCTGATTCTCCTGTCTTCTCTGCACTGCCTTTGCTCAGATTCCACCCCAGAGCTGGCTATATACCAAGAGGACATGCAAATGGGGCCTCCCTCTGCTCATGAAAAGCTGCAGCTCTGCAGGTCAGGCCTGACTTCCAGGGGTCCATCCTGAGATCAGCACTGGGCACAGACCTCCACCATGGAGGGGGCTCTGACCTGGGTTTCCCTTGTGGCCATTTTACAAGTTATTTTGCAGAGAAGAAGAGACACTGGGTGTGTGAGTGGAGCTTAGTGGGAGGAACAGTGGATGTGTGTGACCATTGCTGATCTGGATTCTCTGTGTTTGCAGGTGTGCAGTGGGAGGTGCAGCTGGTGGAGTCTGGGGGTGGCTTGGTGCAGCCTGGGGGTCCCTGAGACTCTCCTGTGCAGCCTCCTTCAGTAATTACTGGATGAGCTGGGTCCCCCAGGTTCCAGGGAAGGGGCTCTATTGGATTTCATCCATCTATGGTAGTAGTAACATATACTATGCAGACTCTGTGAAGGGCTGCTTCACCACCTCCAGACAAAACAGCACGAACATACTTTACCAGCAGATGAACAGCCTGAGAGTGGAGGACACAGCCATCTATTACTGTGCTAGACACAGTGCAGGAAATACTGTGTGGGCCAGACACAAACCTCAACCTCCCTGCAGTGTGCTTATCACCAGCAGGGGGCGCTCAGCACACACTGAGGTCATGGCAGTCAGCACCAGCAGGGGGCGCTGGGCACACACTGAGGTCATGGCAGTCACAGGAGCAGCTGTGGAGCTCAGGCCCTGACTCCTCTGTGTGCCTGGCCTCTCCACAGGACGCAGCGTCCCCCACAGAGCTATCCACTGTATTCTTCCTGTTCTCCAACCCCTCAGAACACAGCTTTTTCCATCTTCCATTGTCGTGGTTCTGTTGTGGTTGATGATGCATTCTTGAGAAGACCAGACACAGCACCATGCATGGTCGTTGGACACTGCTGAGATCACTGAGGTCAAATCTGAGGAAGGTCAAGATCCCTGCTCAGTCCTTTCCTCTCAGACTCAGGAGAGATGCAGTGGACTCCCTGGCTAGGTCAGTCTTTATCCTCAGGTCGGAGTGCATGGGATGTTGTGCAGAGCCAGGGCCTCCATGTCACTGATGGATTTCAAAGCCCACTGTTCTGCTCACACAGCCCAGCATCCAGCCCGGCTTTGATCCCGTTGTCCCCTTTCCTCTTGCTGGTGACATGTGAGGGGCCATCAGTCAGACCAGGGGCTGCTCTGTGACCCACAGAGCCCAGTCCTGGGCACTGCTGAGCTGTGGTTACCTGCAGAGGCCCAGTGACCCCCACCAGCTCCTCTGCCTCCATCCCTTTCTACACACGCTGTAGATGATGAGGTTGGATGGGATTCTCAGCCACAGTTCTGGATCTGGGCACTGCTTGATTCTAGAAGGACATATGTGTTCTTAATTGTCTCTGTGTTGTCTACACCTGTCCTTCACACTAAATCCCCTGCAGACATGGCCTGTATGCAGTCTCTAGACCCCATGCCCAGTACCAGGACCTGGAGGTCAATGAGGCTGTGGCCCTGGCTCCTGCATGCCTGGGAAGACCTCACTAGTGTCCCCAGGCTGCGTGCCCTGGACTGTCCTGTCCTCCTCTCTATGGACTCTGGCGGGAAGCTCAGGGGATATCTGTAGCTAAGGGCACATGGA